AAACAAAATCATCACTCCTGATTTGTACCGCTCCACAAATAGCACAGTCTGAAATATGTGAAATAGAATTCAATAATGCTTTTCTTTATACAGGGAAAAATGGACTTAAAATTACAAATTTTTACAAAACTATAACAAGAGTATTTTTTAACAGATCATAGCATCTAACACACTGATAAGTCAAAATATTTCATAATACTAAGATCAACTGAGACATTTAAATGTGATAAAAATTATGACTACAATAAAATATTGAAAAAGCTCAAATGAAGCCTATAGAGAAAAAGTTTATTTATAAGGAATTTCATTCTACATAAAAGTTTTTAGGATCTCAAACAATAAAACAATAATGGCCTACTTTTCAGAGAAAATGTTTCTAAATACCTAATATCAGAAAGATGACGTTAAAGGAAAAATGGATGAATACTTCATTCAATATTAAAGAAGCAATGGTGCTGTGAATTTCCAGAAGAAACAACATTAACAACATATTCATATTTACATTTAAGGGTATAAATATGCACTAATATAAATTTAACCTTACATAAAAATTGAGAAGCACCAGGTTTGATCAGTGTAAAATAAAGTTATAGCTAGATTTATGCTCTATGTAGCAATTTTATTTTAATTTTCTCTTTTAGAGTTGTTATATTATTATATTAAAGCATATAAAATTTGTTCTCAGCAGAGCAAGCTTCAAATCATTTTAGTTAATTGGCAACTATGGTGGAACATGAAGCATCACTCTTTCCCAGTAGTTTCATTTTAAACAAATCATGCTCACATATAAAAATAGCAAATTGCATTAAATTTTATATAAGACATTTTACAGCTTCTCATATAGGAATAGCTATAAGCAGCTTTCATGGCATATACCAGAGCAAACAGCTTTGAATAAACTCTCTGGCAAGATATCATTCATAGGGATACAAGATACAGCCTCTATCAACTTAATGCTTAAAATATACCACAAAAAGTTGCAGGCTTAAACAAAAAAATGAGCAAAAATTGTCCTAAACCTTGAGTGGGAAGTTCTGATATCCTTTATTGCCTCCAGATTGAAAAATAAGGTATCTGGGTATTTCTCCTAATTCCATCTGGTTAATGCTTGCCACAAAGTCTTAATTCTAAAGCTCCCGACTATTTATTCATATTCTCTAAAACAAAATAGTTAGCAGTGACTGGAGTCTCAAACATAATTACTAAATTTTGCTAATTTTACTTAATATGTTCATCTACTTTATATACTATCAGTTTTAGGCTCCAATTAAAGTTACTAAGATGCTTTGATTTAATTTGTCATAAAGTCACCTTTAAAAATAAAATAGATATAAATGTGGGGGACACATTTATAACAGATATGTTTCTGAGTCTTGACATATAAAATGTTATCTGGCAGATTGACTTCATAGTTTCATTCAGAAAGCATATTAATAGAGGAAGTTCTTGATTCTTCTCTTTCTCTATCTGATGAGTTTTAAAAGAAGGAAAACAGTCCTGCAAATGAGTAAATTTTGTCTTAAATATGGTATATAAGACAAGTTATGGAAATTGAACAAGTCACATTGTGCATAAACTATAGAATATTTTTCTTTCTTTTCCAATTGTAGCTAATTATTCCACAAAGGAAAACAAGTTGAAATAATCAAATTTACCACAACAATGGTTTCTAGAATGCTTAAGATAATATCTTATTTTTAAATTCTTATATTTTTTCGTTATTTAATATCTCAAATTATTATACAAGAGCTTTTCTAAACCTGTCATTATTGCCACTATATGCAAAATAAAACACAGGTCTTCAAGATTCATTGCTCAAAATTAAATTTTTTTAAATTAATTAAGAGTTAAATGCCACTGGGAAAAATTATTTACTCTTCTCTAGATATAAAAAATTATCTAGCCTACAAAAATGCCAATTATCAGGTAATTTTTATTTATCATTTTCCATATTCTTACTTAAGTGCCTAGTAATGCAGACTGAGAAACACATTTCTGCAAGTTCTTCTTGACCTGTTTGGTGCCTCAAAGAAATATCCTTAGGCCAAAACCAAAGCAAAACAAGGCAACTTTTAATAGAAATGGTTAAACATTGTGTGTGCAAAATACAAAAAGAAAGTAAGATGAACACAGAGGGAAACAAGAGAAATTATTTTTGCAGTTCAGAAAAATAGAAACAGAATACTACCTATTCATTCACTGATCATATCACGGATTTTATAAAATTAAATAAACTATTCATTGTCACAAAGTCTTAAAATTCTGATTACACGTTGCTTTATTAGTATTTTCTAAAACAAATAAGTTTGATAGTTAACAGTGACTACAGTCCCTATAACATCCCTAATTTCATATATTGTTTAAAATTATTCGTCTCACCAGAAACATTTTTGAATGACTATACATTATCAAAGAAATTGATTTGCCCATAAATTTGATGTGTTTGTTGATTTAACACATATAATCAGACAATTTTCATTTGTCAATCAGAGGCATATGTGCTGAACATCTATATAACTTCAACAGCATACATGCTTTCCTCACAAAGCTAAATACCACATCTGTGGCATAATCTGTAACATATCACACAGGGCTTTATACACGCACCAATTCTCAAGCTCACTTCTACGATCTGTAAGTGTTGATGAAGTTGCCAAAGAAATCACATTGTATATAGCAAACCTTCCGTTTAACTAAGGGAAAGCTTGCTGTTAGCAACTTAGTTTGAAATGTTAACAACTTAACATAACAACATGTCATTAACGTGGTAATGACCAATTTAAAAGGAAATTGTACTCTGAGAAATGAAAATATTGGCCATCAGAATGAGAGTTTGTATTTGACAGAGGATAAAATGTTTATAAGTTAATAGCATTAAAAGTTGGAGCCCATTAGGGGTTGGGGTCATGGCTCAGCGGTAGAGAACTTGCCTAGCACATGGGAGGCCCTGGGTTTGATCCTCAGCACCACATAAAAATAAATAAACAAAATAAAGGTATTGTGTCCAAGTACAACTAAAAATAAATATAAAAAAAGTTGAAGCATATCAGAAATTAACCAAAAGTTATACCATAAAAATCACCATACATTCTTTCAGAGATAGATAAGGATTTCTGATATGAATAGTATTTGCATAAATTCCCTTCAACAAAACACTTAAGTCATCAAAGACCAGCTTAACATCCTAATTTTTACTGCCATAAGGAAGAATAAAGCAAAACAAATCTAAGGTTACATTCTCTGCTTGCTATTATATCAACAACCATACAAGTTGTTTCACTCACAATGCAAATATTTCACTGGCAAGTTATTGTTTTTTTAAAAAAAATTCAGATATTTCAAGCAACTTTCTTTAAGATTTCCTCAATTTTTGACTTTTTAAAAAGTATTAAAACAGTTTAATCTTATGTAAACTGTATAAACTCCTTGTTTGGAATCGCAACATAAATCCACTTGAGATACTGAAATTGTAAGCAAATGTAAAAGTCAAAAGGAGTCAAAAAGCTGTGACTGTTGGTTAGTACAGATAAAGCAAAACTGGAAAGCAGTGTTAAATCATGAAAAGCAAATACAAATGCTTTGTGTTGAAACGAGGCTCTAATTCGCAATGAGGAGAGGAGAAATTTTTATTTCAAAGAGAAAGTTCAAAGACTGGAGAGTTCTAAAAGAATTCACGTTATAAGTTAACTGATTAGTTGTGCCACCATAATGAGGGAAATCCTGGCTGGGGGGAGTCACTTCCCATTGTTGGCACCTTGCAAGATTTTGTGCACTTGGAACACAGGGGAGTAGGAACAAGTGGCCATAATTAGTCAGAAGGCTGTCAGGTGAGGTAGTGCTGAGAGAGGGGAAGAATAGAATCTGATAAACAGCACTGGATTCACCCTCTTGTAACTACCATTAATCAAAAGATGTATTTTTATATAGAGAGATTGAATCTGACTTTAAATAACTGAATTATAGACTAAGAAGGATCTGATTCCCTAGAAAATACCTCCCAGAATGACCAAGATGGTTAAGGAGTTGCTGCTGATTGATAAATTTTGTGTCATAAGAGAAAAAATTCAAAATAAATAGCTTAATGTCAGACTAGAAAAATGATTAATCGTATCAAATGTGAAAACCCAAATGATGCCATATATCATTTCTCTAATTTGATAGATCCTACTTTATTAATATAAGTAATTTGCAGCTGAATCAAGTCACAAAGTTCCCTGAAAAGCAAAATAATGTTTCTTCAGTGGAATTTCTGTGTTGAGTACTAAACCCTGGGAAACAAGTTCAGCCGACTCCTCCGGCCCTTCTAGGCAGGAGCACCTGCTTTGTCTTCAAATTTCCCAGATATGCACAGTTTGGAGTGTACCTATCATTTCCCCATAATGATGGTCTTTATTTTGTATTCTCCATAAAGACACTGGCAAGTCTGAGGCTGTTCAATGCTCAGTGACATCTTTTTGATGACCATTTTGAATGTCCTGGTGGGGCGGGGGGGATGTATTCACACTTAGGGGAAGTTTTCAAACCATACAATAAATACACCAATAAAAATCACTGACTTCCTCTGACAAATGTGAAACAAAAAGCAGAGCCAGTCCAACTCAAGTTGAACTTTCCAAAAAACAAAGTTAAAATGTTGAGCTCACCCATTTCTTACAACCTACCTTGCTTCCTTATGCTCTAATAAATAAAATTTGCATACGAGTTTCTACAACATACATCCTTGACATTAACTGGCAGTTTCAAAATAAATAGTGAAATAACTTATTCCCCAAAATGAGTAAGCCAAATTGGAACACTGTAGATGCATTTTGCAGGAAGTTCCTTAAGCAGTGATTTGTGTAACACACACTGGGCAACATTATTGAAGGCTGACAGGTCAACATATTCCAGGAACATGAACTGGTAGTAAGGAAATGAAACAAACAAACAAAAAAACTACACTTAACGTTTGTATTTTAAAAGGCATCCAGTCATCACTGGGGTGCAAGGACAATTCCTACCTCAGGTAGTCTCTGCGACAAAGGATAAGATTAGCTTTAGTGTACAGGGTGGAGCCCACCTCTCCCAATCGACAGTCGCAGCAGGCACACTTCAGGCAGTCCTCATGCCAGTATTTGTCCAGTGCCTTTAGAAGATACCGGTCCTTGATCTTTCGGTTGCAGCCAGCACAACCTTTCGGCTTGGTGTCTGGCTGAACTGAGAGCATTTGTATACCTAAAGGAAGACAAAACAAAAAGAAAAGAGAGCTGAGACTACAAGACAGAATAACAAAGATGTCACAAGACCTCAAACAAGTTAAATATTTAATACTGCCTTTTTCCTAGAAGCGTTCGATTTTCTCTTTTAGGGATGTACTGAAATCTAACTAAATTTTGGAAGTAATATGTCTCAAACTTTATAAAAATCCTTATTAAAAGATTGATGAAGTCATACATATAAAGTGGTAATAATAATGAATTCATGTTGTACATGGGAAGTTGACATTATATATGTGAAGTTAAATAACACTAAATCATTCTTCACATAGAGCCATTCCTCTAGGAGGAAAATGTGAGTAAATGGCTAACAATCTGAAAAGAAAGCTATTTAACAAACGAATCCATATACAGTCTACAGGAGTCAAAAATGAATTTTGCTTAATGGTTAAAAATTTCACTTAATATATGGTTGGTGGTGGAAGAAAAGTACACCCTGTGTGGGATTATATGAAGCTTACTTAGCAGTACAGATGTTTAGAGTTAAAAGTACATAGCACAGCCACCCGAAAAGCTCACCAAACCTTTATTGCTTTTTTTTTTTTTTGCATCCACATACTTCCTTCTGTGTCCTTGATATTTCAAAGTATTCATTATGTTAAAAATCACAAAATATATTTATGCTCACAATCATCGGTCAGTGCCTATATTAAGGGCATGTTACTCAAGTATATACTATTCGCTTTTATATAAAACTTAAGTATAGGGTCATTTAATTTATTACTAAGCATGCACTTATTTATTTTTATAGGTGAAAGCAGAAACAATGGAAGGAAAAGTCGAAATATATATAAATTTATACACTCATACATAAATATACATAGAAGATCTACACATACTATGTAGATATAGGGACACTTATATATTTTTAAAGCTGTATCTCCATCATAAATAAGAAATCTAGCTGGGTTCTGTGTGTTTTACAACTTGGCTGAAATCTTTTCAGTGAATGAATATTCACCTTTGAGTTTCTTCTTATTTCCTAGGTGTCGAACACTCAGCCTTAAAAAAGCTGGCACAAGTATTCAAAGCTTCATCTTTATCACATAACTCATTTTAAGCATGATAAAATACTGCAGACATCATCAATTCAAATTCCCTCATTTTACAAATTGTCATGCAGAGACTCAGTGATGTTAAGAGACTCCTTCAAAGTAGAATAAGAGTTAAAATGTGGATTTGGGGACAAGGGGCCTTCTTACAATTCAGAGATACCTCTGCTCTACTTTGCTATCTCTCCTAGGCATAAAGTTTCAAACTTGGATGTAGAAGAATACAAAGCACTAAATATACATGCATTTTAAAAAGTTTCAAGGAAAGAAATGACAACCTATTATTTTCTGCATTTTCTTTGCATTTCTCTTCTACAAATTAGCAAAACCCTCATTTTCTCCAATACCTTCCAATGAAGGCATCACTCCTGTTATCCCCTTAGCCTTACTTAAAATTAAAAAAAAAAAATACATCGGTAAAAAGACATCAAGGTATCTCCATAGCTGAGTAACTTTTCTAGGTATAAATAATAAAGTGCCCATAATAACATTAAGATATTGAACTTTGTTTAGAAAATAACTTGTCTGGTGGAGTGGTAGAGTAGGGGATGGCAAGAAAGAAAGCAGGATGGCTGCTCTTTCTGCATGATATGCATAGCTGGGGTTGTCCAAGCTGCAGACTAGCAGCTGGATTTGTACAGAAGAGCAGGTGGTATCCCTATAGCCTGCTTTCTGTTCTTTTTCTTTGAAGGAGCTAGGGCCCAAGTGTAGATTAATCATAACCCTTGATAGCTCTGCTAAATCTCACTCTCTAGAACTTCTAATAAATGAAGTTTCTTTGATCAGAACTAGTTATCTTCTTCTAGCAAGGTTCCACAAGGAATGAATCCCATTAATTACAGTGCAAGTGCCTTTTAGCCACATACCTAAGGGGAGGGGGAAATTTTGATTTACCAAATGACATTTTGGATTTTGTTACTAAAAAATCCAGAAATATATTCAGAGGAGTCATTCTAATTATCTAACTTAGAAGGCTATTATTTTTTAAATAACAAGGCTAAAAGGAAAAAAAAATATTTCCTATGGTAGCTAAGCTATGTTATTTCCCATAGCTGTGTTATTATCATCAAGTGTAGATGGTCAGTTATCTTTATTCAAAATGCTTTGCAACTAAGACAGGGGGTATCAACATTTGGCACAAGCAACACTACCCTGCTTGTCTTTACAAAATGTTTTTGTTGTGTTGACATTTTAATTTAGCACTCAGAGGCCAATTAATATTTGAAACTCTTACATTCTATCTGGCCTTGGGCATAAAGGAAGTTTGATAATTTGCACTCCATCCCCTATCTTCTTTTAGGGGACATTATCACATTTCTCTAGAAAACAGAATCTTTTCGATTCCGTGCAAGTTAACAATTGTAGAAAAGGAACTATTTTGTAGTCACCACATTGCCATGTACCTAAAAAGCATAAAGCAGTCAGTGGCCTCTCCTCATCATCCAGAAGAAAACGTCTGGGTAGAGTTCTGTGTTCGCAGCTGAGAAACATTTCACAAGTTGCTCATAGCACATCAGGACTCATAACTAGTTTTAGATTGGCATGTAAATTGTTCTGAGGGAAATTCTTATTGCCTCTGAGACCCTGCCATTCTGAGTTATTTGACAGTTTAAGGGAAATCATAATTAAAAAAAGACATAAATAATAGCCTGTGCAGTGTGGTGTGCAGAAATAAGTAGAACCATTTCATTTAAACTCTGGTGAGCTTTTAATTGCCTGGATTGCATTGTGAGGCGGCCTAACGGTTGATTGCCTCCATTATGTTCCCTTGTTCTGTGCCATTCATCCGCACAGTCTCAGCTTCAGTAGTTAACACAACAAAGTAACCACAACTCCACAACACACAGGGGTTTAAAATAATAATAATAATAATAATAATAAAAGATTTGCAGTACTTAGACACAGTCTTTTATATTTTTGGACTAACTGCATAGAGTGAATGGAAAACATTTTGTCCCTGTCGGAGGATTCACAGAGGACAATTTTGGAAAAGACACAGGAAGAGGGGACATATAAAGGGGGTTGGAAGAGATGAGGTGCCTCCTAAAGATGCTAAAATGGGAATGCAGGTTCTGCAGCTGGGAGCAGTGGCACAGATTAAAAGAATTTGGCCAACATGGCCATTCGATTGCCAAGAGGTACCAAACAAAAGATTTTCTCTCTTCCTGCCCATCTTCATCCTCTCCCCCACCCCCCCACCCCTGATTGGAAAACTGGATTGGGCCTAAAAGCTTGTTTCTCTCTGTTCACTGGCCCAGAGCATCCCTACAGGCTGCAGCCCCCTAAGGGACAACAATGCAAATAGATGTCCCCAGATCTCTGGCACAGGAGCTGCTTAACTCTGTTCTGCCCCTTCAACTCCCAACCCCCCTCCCTATCCTTCTACCCCCCCTCCCCTTTTTGAGCAATGGAGCTGGGAACCAATTTGATTCCCTTTTTCTCCAATGCAGCTGCAAGGCTCAGAGATACTGACATTTTTCCACTCTTATCAGTTTAATTACAGTTACCATGGCAGCAAAGTGCTAGTGCTTGGCAAAGGCCAACAAGAGATTTGCAAGACTGAGTTCAATTTTGATGCAGCTCACATGCAAAATAAAAAAAAAAAATAAGAAACATACATACACTCTAACAAAGAATCCCTCACGGAGTTTATGCTCCAGCCTTTTGTGGTTGTGTCTTTGCAGCCACACAGGGATGGTTTGCAAAGAATGTAGCAGTATTTGTTGCACCTAGCAAGATTAATTGGTTTAAGCAGCAGTCTCTCAAAGCAGTTACAACAATAATATTTCGGATCTTTCAGAAAGGCACAAAAGCAGCGGAAGAGCAGGAAGGCTTTTGAGCAGCCAAGAGTGCAGAGCGCCGGCAAAGTGCATCTATGATAGATCGTAACCTTACCAAAACTTTTCTCCTTTTTCTGCATGAGTTGAGTTAGGCGTGCCTGAGTTGCAGCAGTTTCGCATTGAGCACCAAGCCCAAAGGTAGAAGTAGAAGGGATTCTCCTTGATTTGGCTCAAGTGTGGACCTGGTGCGCAGCCTGCACCGACCAGGACTCACTATTGTGAAGCCACTTTGGGAGCGGGTCGGAGTGGAGGCAGGGGTGGGGGAAGGGATGAGGGCGGCCAGACAAGACACGGTGCACACACGGAGCCCCTCGTAGTGTGGCTGTGTGCAAAATGATGGCGAATGACAAAGCCACATGCTTCCCTAACTCTGCCCATAATCCTAAAATCCCAGCGGCCCTTTTTAGCTTCCTGGTAACAAATGGATTTGATTAAACTGTCACATGCAGCGTTAGCATAGCATATCATGTTCAATATGAAAAAGATCATAAATCTGACTTGTATTTCATAACAGCAATCTGAGTAGCCCCTGTAAAAAAATGTGCTGCATCAGTTTGAATCTCCACCTATTAGGACATAAGCACCTCTTTCCATGGAACCTCTCCCCTCTGGCCACTTCTCGCCTAATCCCCCTCTCCCCGCCCCCTACAACATAGTCACTTTTTCATCCCCAAGGAACAATATTTTGTTATTATGGCTGTATGGGGAGAAGCAGAAGTGTCAACAACAACGAAGAGGTTGTAATTTCAACTCTTTTTTTTTTTCTTTTTGTGGGGGGTGGTTCATATAAATTTCAGCAAGTAGAAGAAGGGGTCCCAGTACACACCTAGGATTGAAGCCCCTTCCTAAGAGCTGCGAGCAAACATTTTCCAATTGCAAACTCTCCCCGTCCCTCTCTCCCAGGGAGCCAGGGGTGTGGAAATGCTGCAGTTCATGGTGAACTTTGACTATTATCCACTCGAGTCGTACTTGAGACGTTCCGCGCCGCAGCCGCGCTCTCCCTCCTTCCATCAACATCTTCCGCCTGCATCTATTTCATGTCTCATCATAAAAATAATGAAGCCTCACATGATTTAAACAAAATCGTCTCAGTAGAGCTGCAGCCCGAGCGAAAGTTGCAGTGCGGAGCTGGGTTGCAGCTCCAGTTTATGCCTCATTAGGAGAGGCTGGGAAAGAAAAAAAAAAAAATACCCACATCCGCACACGCACGCGCGCACCCGCAGACACACACACCACAAATAAGCCTACGCGTGTGTACACAGTTGCTGCACTTACCTTCTCAATTAAGCGATACAGGGGGAGGCCGTTCAGTAAGCACAGTGGCTGCTTTGTAGCGCTTCTCCTTGGGAAAGGTCAAAAAGAAGCATTGTTTGAAAAAAAAAAAGAGGGGGGAGGGAATCTCTATTTTTTAAGTTTAAAATAATGAGGTCCTCAAGGATCCGCCAAGTAATGGTGTTGACCGCATCTGAGCCACAGGTGTTCTCCTTTTAGGCAACTGCAGTCCAAGGCTGTCTCTCTCTGTCCGGGCTCAAGACAACTTACCCCAGCAGCGTGCGAGGAGCCGAGCTGAAGAAGCCCCGGCTCTCAGCAGCAAAATGCAATCCCTTCCCAGCCAGACATAATACAGCCAAAGAAAAGGTCACTCAGTTATTACTGAGCCGGCGGAGCCCAGGCAGCGCTTGTCAAGACCACAGAGAAGCAGCTCCCTTCCGATTTAAGACTATTTACCTCTCGCCCCCACCCCTCCCCTCTTCTCTCCTTTCCTTCTCTCCCTCCCTCTCTCGCTGGCTCCCTCGCTCGCTCTGCTCTCGAGTGCCTGTTCTGCAGCTCAGTCAAGTACAGCCGCCCTCGGAAAGTGCAAAGCAGCCACGAGACAGATCGGGCTTTGTTGCTAATTTCCCAGGGTGAAAATTTACAAGCCTGCGAGTGCCGTCTGCACAACCGCATGCATATGCTACTCACAAACGCTGGGGACGACCCCGAACACAAAATGTGACCTCTGCAGGAGTCCATTCAGGAAGGACCCTACCTCCTGGTCCCGTCCAAAAGAACTCCTGAGAAAGAACTCCGGAGGAAAAGGGTAGGGTTCCTAAAATAAGCGGGGCATTTCGGAATAGCTGGCCACATTTAAAGCAAATTGCCCTCTAAAGCCATTTCTGAAGCTACCAATTATGGAAATTAAAATAAAAGCCAGGCAATCAACCTGCTACCAGGATACCCTGGAAGAGCACACACCCCTCCCTTTTAAGAAATGTATGAGGTGTGGGGGGTGTCTACAGTTGCCTGGTCACCGACTTCCATTCAGGAACTCTCTGAAGTACCTGCTGCTCCACAAGTCTGCCACACAAGCCCCATCCAGTGAGTGACACCTACTCCCCTTCCTCCCTTCCTCCAGTGGCTCAAGAACCAAACTGAACTATTACCCATTAGCCAGTGCTGAACCCCATCACTACCACTGAAACACATTTTCTGCAATTACCTGAATTCCTTACTTTATAAAACTTACATACTTGGATGAAAAACACCCAAGAATGCTGAGAAACATATTTTTGGGACTAACTTGGTCAAAGAAACATAGTTTCATCACCATTTACCAGCCTGTTTCACACACTTGTTTTAAGGCCTTGACAGTTTTTTTTTCCCCATTGAAAGATGTCCCATTCTCCCTAACCTCATCTCCTCTCAACTTTGCATCTATAAAAGCCACTGGTAGCTTTAAAATATCTGACTATTTTCGTAAGTTTTCAAACTTCAGTTCTTTTTCTTCTTCTACTTTTTTTTTTGCAGCTATTAAAGCCCCCTCACCAGATTTTACAAAGCCTTGTCAAAGGTCAAGCTTAAAAATAGTGCAAATTTGAATGACACTGGCTGAAATGTTTTAAGAACCAAGACAGATTCAATTGTTGAACTACAAAAAAACTTTTTTTCTTCTCTGCACCATCAGTTTTAATCTAGTTTTAGTTTTTTTAAAAAAATCAAAGCAGCCCCAGTGAATATTTAAGCTCAATTATGCTCCTCTGCATAAAGAATACTGGCCTAATATTGACAACTTATTTTTTTTACCCCCTCCATTCTGAAGACTCATAATAAAATAGTATGTAGCTTGCTTTTCTCTCCCTTTAAAAGACAACAAAACTCAGAACTAACCTGAAAAATAACGAAATTCACAGACGGCAGATTAATGAGAACCCCTTCAGTTGATTGGTTCTGTACATAAGCAGATTTCTTAAGTTTGGCTTTTCTGGCCAGTCTATGCAGGTACACAGGCACCTCACCCATCCGCACAGTTCCCCGATTATCTACCCCACCTCTCTGCTCCAGCCACTCTGAAAACACCCCAGAGTGTGTGTGCCTGTGTGCCTGTGTGTGTGTGTCTTGAGTGTGTGTGTGTGCTCTCTCTCTCAGCCAATGCAATGAGAAGAAGAAAAGAGGGAGGGAGGGAGGGAGAAGTATGTGTGGGGAAAGGGAGAAATAAAATCAAAACAAATGGTACAGCTAATGAGGACAATTAAATTAATTATGTTCAAGGAGATGAGATTTTTTTTTCCCTCCAACTGTATGATCTGTTACCCCTCGCTGGCAACTGCTGCTCTGTAATTCATGGCAACTGATTAGTGCATCTATGCAAATCTTTGTTTAAATCATTCAACTAATTAAATGATGGGATTATTCCTCTGCCTACGGTGACATCATTCGCAGTAATTAGTACTCTATTTGGACTGTGGCAGTAAGATTCCTGATATCAACACCAACCTGCAAAGACATTAACCACTTTGTCACC